CTTGACGGCGATACATGCAAGTTCGCTTCAAATCTCTTCCTTACTTCCTCATGAAAATGCTTGACTGCCTTAGCCCTTTCTTCAGCATCTCCACTAAACTGATGTTTAGTTGGTAATGGTATAAGATCCAAAAGGCCTAAAAGATGCATTCCATACACAACTTCAAGTGGGTGTTATCCAGTAGTTTGACTCATCAAATTGTGATGGCCAAACTCTACTTGAGTTGATAACAAATCTCATTTTCTGACATGTTTTTCAATAAAGCTGGCTCAATAAATTGCCCAGAATTTTCTTTGACAGCCTCAGTTTGTCCGCCGGTCTAGGATTTCCCACCACAATGTTGGTGTGAGCGCGCAGTAGAAGTCCGATACCTTTACCCGGGGAGATCGCCAAGGGAGAGCCCAAGTTCGAGCATGTCAACATATCTACTTGGACTCACCTTCACTCAAAAACTAAAACTAATGAGTTATGGGTCAACTTAAATATATTAATTATTTTACACCACACCAAATCTCCGATGTGGGACTTCTCTGACATAATTCGCACAAGCATCTCAACAAATGTATGCAAGAAATGACTCAAAAACACATCACGATAAAAGCTCGGCAACAAGTAATTCATCAATAGTTTTTATTACATGGCACGAAATGGGCCATTTTAGAAAATCGATCCACCGTAACCATGCCCAAATCCTTGTTGCATCGAGTCTTTGAAAAACCCAAAGACAAAGTCCATGCTAATATCTCCCGAAGGCGCTTGAGGAATATAGGTAACGACAAGTATAAGCAAGTGTTTTGGCCACCAGTTTTTGCAATGTGGCAAATTTTGCATCGCTTAATATGGCGCATGCTAGTTTTTTTTTTCTTCATTTTTAGCCAATGAAGATTCTCTCTAACAAGCGCCGATGCTTTGTCACGACCCAAATTGACCAGCTACTCCACAATCACGGGCTTCAAAGCTAATCACTTGACGCAATGAACATTGCGGAAGACAAAACTGATTGCCTTGGAACAGAAAACCATCTTTGACGGTGAAACTGCCCTAGTGAAATTTCAAGAGTCAATTTCCAGATTTCCCAAAAATCCAGATCCGCTCTGCATACATCTCTTCAAATCCAACAGTCTTGATTTGCGTAGTAGAGAGAAGCGTATGTCGGCGGCTTGAAACATCTGCTGCTCGATTTTGAGCATCAGAGTTACGTTTGAGGACAAGCGAAAAGGACTCTAGAAATCCGCTCGAAGCCATAAGTGCCTCATGGTCAGAGTACGAAACAGACTCTATCCTTAGCACGTAGTGGCTCCAATGTTGAGAGCACGCACTATAGCGTAAAACTCCATATCATAAGTTGAATGCTTCAGCTTGGCATTGTTTAGTTTATCACTTTTAAAAAGGCAACGGCTCAGCCTTCTTGATTGAGAACAGCAGCATCACCAACATTAAAAGCATCTCAATGAACCTCAAAAACCAAATCGAGGTTTAGTAGTGCTAAAACTAGGGATTCAATGGTTTTCTTCTTTAAGAGTTCAGAACTCTTGTGCCGTTTCATTCCACTAAAATCTCTCTCCCTTTATCCATTCAGTAATCGGTGCAGAAATAGAGCTGAAATTCTTTATGAACCCCATAGAAAGAAGCGAGGGCATGAAAGCTTCGAACTTCATGAAGTGTTTGCGGTGTTGGCCATGAAATGTAGCTTCAATCTTGCTCGGATCCATCTCCGTTCCTTCATTAGTCACCGTGTATCCAAGGAAATATGCATTCAAGACAATAGTAAACTAACATTCTTCTCTTACCAAAAGAAAAAAAAACTAACATTCTTAATTCTACTACAAATTTTAGGAACATCTTTTTCTTTCTTCTTCTATTTTCTATTTGTACTACTTCACATCATATATTCTTTGGTCATTACCAATAACATGACTTATCAATCTATATATTACACCGGCAATTGTAAATCGAAATTGTCTTTCTCCCTCAAGATCTGAATTTGGCTCATCATACTTGTGCATTACCTTTTAAAGTCTTCGCCTTTGAATGGCCAAAGTTCGCAAAAACCTTGAACTTCAGCATTTTTTTCCCTAACATGTGTATTAACAAACCTCTACCCTAAGAATGGTCACTGGGTCATGCCAGCGCAGATATAGCATGGACAAGCCCTCCTGGGCCCGAGCCCGAGATGGCACCTCATGGTGAGGGATCGCACCAAGGCGTGCCCATTAGCAATAAGGTGTTGTGCTAATGCCCAGGTACTGGTTAGGTTCGAAATTCATTTTAGAGTGATGAATTGTAGTCGGAACAAAAGTGAAGATAGTAACAGTGGTATATGATCTACATAACAATGTTTCATAAATTTAACTATGAGTACAAGGAAAAGAAGGGGGCAAAACAGGAAGGAGCCATAATGGATAATTTCGTGCCACCAAAATGCATCGTCATGGTATTTTTTGCTTGAGGTAATCGTTTGACTGAAATCTTGCCGACGACACAAAGGCATGCTAAAGCATTGGTGGATCTTCTTTTCCACATTTGGATGACCTGTCTTCTTTGTCTTTGTTTTCTTGCTTTATGTCTGTTCACTATCACTTTGCTTTTTCACAAAATTTTCCTCGGATACTCTCGGGCCATTTTCACTGTGAACGAGATCAGTCGAGGTCTACAAGAAATGATTTTATGCTACTATTCATCAAACCGGTAGGTTAATCATTTTGATAATTGTTTGATAAGTATTCTTCTGGCCAGCATTTGATAAATGATTTTCTTCTTGCCAGCAGCATTTGATAGATGATTCAAGACCACAATTTTAATATTATCTGTGGATCGTCAATGAGAGTTTGTAAAATAACATCCTTTCATCATTTCACATCACAGATTTTACCCAATGGCGCTTTTTATTATGGTTGCTAGCAATATATGATTTTTTTTATTGTCCAGATTTTCACCCTTGTAGAGTATCTATTTTCATAAATCTATTTATTCATTTGCTAAATGTTAGACCAAACTAAGACTTATAAAGACCTTTTTCCGATTTAGACCAAGACTCACAAGTAGATACTTTTTTTGTGGCATTTATGGTCTTACCATGTTTGCAAGATGTCGTTACATGATACTATTGATTGCTCTTTGATATTTTCAAAAATAAAGTACAAACAAAAGAGAAAAGGCATTTGATTTCCTTCAGAGAGTTGAAGGAGAAATCAAGGGCAGAGCAGAGCAGAGAAGAAATTCTTCCCGTTATGCTCCGGTACAAAGTGAAATATACATACATATATATAAGCATATAGAGCATGCAGCCAATGCGGATGCACATTTGCTGGTAGTACTAGAAAGGACCTTACTACTTTTATTAAGATTATGTATTAGTACTTTTACAAGAATCGACTAGAAATCTATGACAACAAATCTCCCAATGAAATACCTAAATATGCTATTCATTAGGCACATAAAAGGTACTTGAAGCATTTGAAAAGCCAAACGGCATGACAATCAACTCATGCAATCCATCATGAGTCTTGAAAGCAGTCTTCCACTCATCTCCAGAGCGTATTGGAATTTGATGATATCCACTTCTCAAGTCTATCTTCGAAAAGACAGATGCTCCATGTAGTTGAAAATGAATCATCCAGAGCGTGGAATGGGAAAACGATACTTGCTTATAATTTTATTTACCGCCCAACTATCAATACACATACACCACGATATATGCTTCTTAGTTCTTAGGAATAAGTAAGGTTGGCATAGCGCAAGGGCTAATACTTTCTTTTACCAAGCCTAATACCATTTGTTGCTTCACTTGGCGTTGGAGTTCTTCGTGCTCCTTAGGACTCATGAGCGGTAAGCCAAAGTCTATGTAGTGTTAAATATCGGGCGGTAAGCCTTCTGGAATCTCATCATGAACATCATCTCTAATCTCATTGAAATATTAACTTTTTTTTATATTCACTAAGCCGATGCACTTTTGCTAGAAGTACTAGAAATGAACCTTATTATTGATTATATGGATTATAAATTAGAACACTCAAAAGAATTGACTAGAAAAGAAAAAAAAAGGAGAGGAACAAAAAACTCCATTCTTTATTGAAAGAGAATAGTAGTTTTATTCACAAAGCTGATGCACTTTTGCTAGAAGTACTAGAAATGAACCTTATTATTGATTATGGATTATAAATAGAACACTCAAAAGAATTGACTAGAAAGAAAACAAAAAACGAAAGGAACAAAAAACTCCATTCTTTATTGAAAGAGAATAGTACTTTTATTGACAGAGAAAGTTTCAAGGAATAGTAATTTCATTCACTCGATTTGATAATATAAGCTCGGTTACTTTTCTCTATTTTTGAAAATATATATTAAACTAAAAAAAAGTATTTGGTACTCGGAGATATTGCATTCAAGATAATAATAGCGAAGTAACATTCTTCACTTGCCAAAAAAAAGATAAGAAATTAACATTCTTAATTCTACTCCAAATTCTAGGACATAGTTTTCTTTTCTTTGCTTTATTTTCTACTGTAGTAGCAAGGCCATGACTTATCAGTTTCCATACTACTCCAGCAATTTGACTTATTATACTCTATGCATTACCAAAAGTCTTTGGCTTTGAAAGTCCATAGTTTGGAAAAGACTTCAACTTCAGCATTTTGCTTTTCCTAACATCTAGATCCTATGGTGCCATTACTATCTTCACTTTGGTTCTGATCTACAGGATGATTTTTCATAAATTCAACTTATGGAATAAGATTCCTTGTAGTACGGGAAAAGAAGGGGGCAAAGTAGGTAGCAGCAGGAGTGAATAATTTATTGCCACCGAAAGGCATCCTCATGTGTTTTTCCTTGAAAGTGTCTTTATCGACAAAAACCTTGCCGACAACACAAAGGCTCGCTAAAGCACTGGTGGGTTCTCTTTTCCACGCTATATGTCGTCGTCACTAGCATGTATTTATCGTTTTGGCCCACTTGTCTGACAAACACCATGACAGCACTTTATCTTTTATTTTTGGTTTTGTTTCTTGCTTCTGAATTGAAATTTCCTCAGACATTTTCTCTTGGGCATTGAAATTTCCACCACACGAAAGCAACGACTACAGGCGCGTGGTTACTGTTCCCATTCGATGAATTATCAGCCCCCACGGGTAATTCAATGAATTGCCATACCTACACAGTAGGCAACAAGAAGGCATTTTGGTCTTCTTCCCGGTCAGACAGGAGAAATTGAGGCCAGAATCAGAGCAAAGAAGAAATGCATCTTCCCATTTTTGAGCACTCTTTCGCCGTACTCGTGACACCGATCCTTCTCTTGTTTCTCGTGTTCAATCTCCTCATAAAGAAGAAAAGTGTCCGTAGAGATGGAGAAGATAGTGATACTGGCGTATCTGGTTCGCCAACTGTGCTGACAGAAACTAATTCCAGTGCATCTAGTTCGTCGACTGCGCCGACTGGAAACCACTATGACGTGTTCTTGAGCTTTAGAGGCCCAGATACTCGAGAAGGCTTCACTGATCACCTCTACCACGGACTCGTCGATGCTGGAATTCGTGCTTTTAGAGATGATAACGAACTCCGCCAAGGCGAGCAGATCGGTCCGGATCTTTTGGCAGCCATCATGAACAGTAAGATCTCAATCCTCATTATCTCCGTGAATTATGGTTCTAGCAAATGGTGCCTTGATGAACTGGTTCAAATAATGGAGTGCAAGAATAATAACACAAGGCATTTAGTCTTGCCTATATTCTACAAAGTGGCACCAACTCACGTGCGACATCAAATCGGGAGTTTTGGAGACGCATTTCGTACGCGTGAGAAGCGTTTCAACTCAAAGACTATGGAGAAATGGAAGCAAGCACTCAAAGAAGTTAGTGACTTAAAAGGATGGGAAGCCAAAGGGTACTTCATTTTTTCACCAAAACATTCTCTACTTTCTTTTAATTTGTCTGGGCGTTTAACGCTTGTTCTAATTCCTATCTGCTTCACTTCTTCTTCTTTTTCCTTAATTAAAAAAGGCAATAAGATCTTAACAGTAATAAGCTCCTGTGATGCATGAATTCTATCAGTTATTCTTTTTGTAGTTTTTAACTTTACTGATGTTGATCAATCTAATTATAGATTTTATTGTTACGATCCAATTCGCTTGAATTAGATAAGATTTTTTAAATAAATTTTTACTCTTTTATCCAAAGATTTTGTAACAGAGCCATTCTTTTCAGGTTTATAGTTTAAGCTCTTTAAGTCTCCATCTCAAACTTTTCTAATGACATATTTATTTTAGATTAATTGTACAACTTATTGGTGGTTCCTATTTAACTTTCATAACATCGTATACGGTGCATGCTGATTGTCAAAGCCATAATTCTATATCTTCTTAAGTTACATTATTAAATCATTAATGTCATTAATTAGTTCCAATAAAATTATATTTAGAAAAGAAATATTTCATTGGTTATATGTGATGATGGTAAACATAAACAAGCAAAAAATTTGTCTTTATTATATGTTTGTTTAAGTATTTCTCAATGCATTTTCCTATCTTCAACCCATCATGTCTATCTCATACACCTGCATAAATTGAAGTAATGTTTTATTTTAGGGAAAAAGTATTCTTCCACTTCCCAGTCAATATTAGATAAATGAAAATCATAGAACATGGGTACTCAGAGGGATATAAAGTACAACCTGTTATCATCCCTTGACACGATGAAAACAAATAAGAACGCGAAACTAGAAGGATATAAATTCACAACATAGGTGGAAACTTGCAATTGTGTAAAATTGTACAAATACGGAGAAATTCCCTCAATTGTATTTAGGTAGTACACAATACAGCACTCTGAACCACTTTCTGGATTGGTATTACATGACTTGAATTCCTCTAGCATCAAAAGTTATCACTTGTTTATTGATTGATGGCAGAACTCTCATATCGGGCTGGCTGATTGGATTTTTGCTTATTTGAATGCTCTAAAAAGTTCTCAAAGTCATGTCCAGGTCATCCCTAATATCTTTAACAAAGGTCATCTCTAATATCTTTAACAAACAACAAGTTTAAAATTTGATTCACATCCATAATAAATACATTATTCAAGATTCAGTAGCGATACTCTCAAGTTTCTTTTGGCTCAGCAAATTATGTTAGAGTAGTGGAATGGGGTACACCGTCTAAAGAAACCACCGGCATTTCCAACTCTAGTCTTTGCATATAAGATAATATACGGAGGCGTGACAAAACAATTCTTCAATTTTTTCGATTTTTTCCCAAATTTATTTACTATTGTCTCTTTAGATAAACAATATGAAATTATTGTTGCCACATATTTGAACTCTTGTCACATTTGACAGGTACGAAGGAGAATTAGTGAAAAAGGTTGTCCAAAAAGTGTTAAGCGAGTTAAAGAAAGAGTTTGAGTTGGTTATTCCTGAAAATTTGGTTGGAATTGATAGTCATGTGGATAAGGTTATGGAATTTGTAGATAAGAAGTTTAGTGCTACCCTATCTGTTGGAATCCATGGAATGGGAGGGATTGGTAAGACAACTCTTGCTAAAACTATCTATAACAAGCTCTTCCATCAATTTGAGTATCACAGCTTCATTGCGGATATTAGGGAATCATGTAAGCGTAATGGTCTTGAGTACTTGCAAAATCAGTTAATCACCGATATATTGAAGCAAAAAGATCAAGTTCATAATAAAGATGAAGGGATTAAGTTCATCTCGTCCAAGTTTGAAGGTAAGAAAGTCCTCATCCTTCTTGATGATGTGGATGATGATGATCAGTTGAAGGCTTTAGCTGGAAATCATAATTGGTTTTCTTCTGGGAGTAGGATCATCATTACAACCAGAAACAAGACTATTCTTGACAATGCTCGGGTGGATCACAACTATGAACATAAGGAATTGGATATGAATCAATCTTTGATTCTATTTTGTAGACATGCTTTTAGAAGGGACACTCCTCCTAGTGAATTTGAGGAAGACACTCATAAGATTGTATCCTCCACCGGAGGGCTTCCCTTATCTCTTGAGGTTTTAGGTTCATTCCTATGTGGGAAAAAACCAATACTGTGGCGCGATACGATAAACAAGTTACAAAAAGTCCCTCATAAGAAAGTGCGAGAAAAGTTGAGGATAAGTTACGAAGCATTAGAGCATGGACAAAAACAAATATTTTTGGATATAGCTTGCTTTTTCATTGGCACCGATGGAAGAATTGCATCCTACATGTGGGACACTTGTGGCTTTTTCCCATATGAGGGAATTGAAGTATTGAGATTTATGTCATTAATAAAAGTTGGAGATGATCATGAGCTCAGAATGCATGACCAATTGAGAGATCTTGGTAGGGAAATCGTTCGTGAGGAAAACCAGCAGGAACCTCAGTACCGTAGTAGGTTATGGGACTCCCAAGAAGTCCTCAAAGTGCTAAAGAGAAATAAGGTAACCGTTTCTGTTCTTTTGCTCCCTGAGTCCATCTGGTACTGTCAAGGTGATGTTGGTCCTCTACTTAGTGCTTGCTCTAGTGAACAAAGAACCTTCTAATATTATCGCCCTTTTGACGTTTCATTGACGCGATTAGAAAATAGGAGATGGCTCTCTCTTAGCAAGTATTGCAGCTTATTTGAGATTTTTCTTAAACAAACTCTACATTACGAAGTTTTCTCCAAGAATGAGGTACTTTCAAATTTATTAGATGCTTGATAGAGGTATTCTACATTGACAAGATTGTGAATTTGTATAATTGATTCAGTTACGTGCTTGACACATGCAACTATATGTTCGTTTGATCCAAAATTGGATTAGGAATAGCTATTCTCTCAAAATCAGGATTTGCTTTTCCTAGGGGGCCAAGGAATTAATAGCTATTCCATGTAGCCAAGAATAGCTTCAATTTTCATGATTCAGAAATGACTTTGCCTTTAAAAAAAGTAATTATGTTTACAGTAAATCAAATTTTCTAAATAAGGACTTTGTTTATTGTATTTATTATAGTTGAATAATTCAATTATATATTACTGTGATCGATTTATTATACATTAAAATGTAATCTACAATTAAATTATAATTTATACTAAAGCAATATGTTATACAGAGCATAAATTCATTAATATTATTATCTTAGTAACTTATAATTAGAACATAATTATTAATAATATTTCAAGTTACTATTAATAAAATAATAAATCAAAATAGGATATTAATATAACTATATGAACATGTTTATTTACTGATAATTAGTTATTACTACAATTGGAAAAACAAAAACAAGTATTTGTTATTCTTTTTATTAATTGCATCAATAAGCAGAGTCGATTAATATACACAGAATTATACATAAAAAACGAAAAAGAAAAGGGGGCTTCATAACGTTGAAATTTCTTTATATTAAGAGAAGTTTGTTTTTCCCAATTGTTACAATTTTTAGAATAACTATGTATCCATGTGATTGTAGTTCATTTAAATATATAATATGAAAGTCACAAATTGATCAGATCAACTTTTGATTTTGCTCATTGTTACTTGATTAGATCCTGTACATAGCACGTACACCCAAACTAGTATAGTAATAAAGCTACATTACAGGAAAGAAGAGGATTTACAAGTTGAAAGTTCTACCATGTATGAGCCATTAGATCGGTAAAAGAACGTCCATATAAGAAACTATGAATTATTATAACAGAGAACTTCACTATTCTTTTCAAGATCAAAGTACTTATGGCCAATTTTAAAATCGAACTTGACATCCTTCAGTGTGTTGGTCTTCATAAATTCTGTTCATTGGCCAAAAAAGAAAGTCGTATCTTCACTTTGCGCGTCTTGTTAAAACATCCGTGCATGTTCATAGCAATATGAACGAATGGTATTAGATTACTTATTTTTATATAGATAGTATTGATGAACATTAATTCTTACTTATAGGGAACAGAAAAGATTCAAGCCATTTATCTGAGTAAAGGCACTTCAGAATGCTCTGGCAAAATAGCTGACCAAGATGATATCCACACAGGCGAACAATTTAAGAATTTAACAAGTCTAAGGTTCCTTCAAGTGAGTGGGGCACATTTTAGTGGAGATTTTAAGAACTCTACCGAGGAGTTAAGATGGCTTCGATGGTGGAATTGTCCCTCGACTTTTGAAGCAAACAATTTTCATGTAAGGGAATTAGTTGTACTCGATTTGTTGAGAAGCAAGATTTCAGATGAATGGCGAGGATGGAGTTCCATCATGGTAAGATGGAAGAACAAGTCTTTTTTTTTTCCGCTTTCTTTTATTAATCATAATTAATCTACGCTAACTCCGTGACAATTTTCTTTTTTTGTTAGATGGCAAACAAGCTAAAATTTCTTGACCTTACAGAATGTCTATCTTTAAAAGGAACTTTCTTCCTCTCAGCTTTTACAAATTTAGAGGTTCTAATCCTCCATGGTTGTGAGGAACTGGAGCAAATTGACTCTTCAATCGGAGACATGAAGAGTCTGGTACGCTTGGACTTGGGGTTTTGTAGGATGCTCAAGGAGCTGCCTGCAGAAATGGGTAAATTAGAAGCATTACAGCAACTCTTTCTAGAATATTGTCCTAAAATTTCTATAGTACCAGACAGTATAGGGGCTCTGCAGAATCTAGAAATTCTAGATATGAGAAGAAGTGGGATAAAAGAATTGCCAGATAGTATAGGGGCATTGCAGAATCTAAAAATTCTGGAGATTGGAGAAACTACGATAAAAGAATTACCAGAAAGTATAGGTGCCTTGCGGAATCTAGAAATTCTGAAGATTAATGACACTCAGCTAAAAGAATTACCGGAAAGTATAGGGGCCTTGCAGAATCTGGAAATTCTGTATGTTGGTTGGACAAGGTTAAAAGAATTACCTAATGGTATTGGAAGGCTGACAAAGCTCCGAGAGCTAGATGTTGCATGCTCAGATATTTTTGAAGTTCCAAAATGCATCGGTAATCTTTCTTCCCTACAAAGGCTGGAGTTTCATCGTTGTAAGAAGCTCCAATTGCTACCAGAACTTCCTTCCAGCTTAACGAGTTTGAGCGTCACCTGTCAAAGTCCTAGATTGCCTTCACTTTCCTACCTGACCCATCTCAAGAAACTACAACTTTGGGATTGCAAAATTCTTGAGTGCATCTCAGAGCTTCCATCGACACTATTAGAGCTTTCAGAATGCTCCCACTTAACAGATGTTGAAGAATCAGAATTACCAAAATCCGTAAACGCCCCCTTCAATTTGGAAGAATTATTGATCTCGAAATGTGAGTTTATGCAAATACTGGATGTTTCACAATTAAGCCATTTGAGGTATTTATTTGCCAATATTTGCTTTAACTTACTTGAAATTCGAGGTCTTGACAAATTGAAATATTTGGAAACCTTAGTAATAAAAAATTGTGCTTCAATTGAAAGGCTAGACCTTCCAAAATTCGGGAGTGTAAAGGTAATATCTGTTGAAAATTGCAAAAAATTAGTCGAAATTCAAGGCCTTGATAGATTGGAGTTCTTGGAAAGGCTGACAATCCGTGGGTGCATTTCAATTGAAAGGTTGGACCTCTCAAAATCCGCAGATATGAAGAAATTATATGTTGAAAACTGCCAAAGCTTACTCGAAATTCAAGGTCTCAATAAGTTGGAGCTCTTGAAAGAGCTAGGTATCTCTGGTTGCCTTTCAATTCAAAGGCCTAACCTTCCAAAATCTGATGGTCTAAAGATATTAAATGCTAATGATATGCATGCCGCTAGAAATTCATGGGGACGTCTCATAAAAGGGTCATCAAAGATTCGGAAAAAATGGAGTGAAGACAACTAGGATGAGTCAAAATAGTCGAGATGATCCACATTTCCTAAGAATTCACAAAGTAGGTGAGCTATCTTCTCTTTTGAGATCTATCGCCCATTTTCATTTGTATTTTCTGTTCGTAACTTCTTTTAAGATTTATTTCATTTTCATTTGTACTTCTGGGTTGACGGTGTTTTTTCTCTTACTTGAATTCAAGGAATCCGGGGGAGATGTTGATGGAAGTTAATGTGATGCTTTGGCGAATATTTCTGCTGATCATGCCAGTAATGGAAATAGATCAAAAGGCCTTCTAAGTGCCTCATTTGTCATTAGTTTTTGGGTAAGATTATTCATCCTATGCAGAAAAATATAGATTCTTCGTGTTTGATTGATCCTGGAATGCTGGATCTACTGAATAAAAACCGATGTACACAGGCACTTGATAGCATGAGAAAGGTAATCGTATGGGTCAAGAAATGCTAAATGAAGATGTGAGGTTTTAGTTTGCCCCGCGCTCACTGTGCAATTCATGACTGCATATTTCTAAGGTACTCTTAATAATGGATTTACGATGCAAAAGGAACATGTTAAGAGGGGCATCTCTTAGTATGCATACGCTATTGACTTGGTACAAAATTTGTCCAACCATTGTGTTCCACAATTTTTATCTCACGGAAATGTCTGCATTAGTTGATTAAGATAATTGTATCAGTCGAGAAACGCTAAATGCAAGAAAGACTCTTCTCCTAGTGGTGTGGTAATGTTTGTAGAGTTAGTAATGCCAATTGTCATTGGCCTGAACTTAAGTCAAGCAAATAATCAAGATGGCAGATATGAACAAGAATGTCTTCTGACATAATCGACTGCACTGCGATATAATCCCGGGTATTATGCATAAGCTCTTATTAGTGCTTTTACTTGCTGAAAAGAAAAACACCGGAAGCGTTTCCATAACTTTCCCAAGGAAACTTTCCTTTATCCTATCTGCCAACTTTGATTTTTTGTCTTATATTCTGATATATGAATAGTACATAATGATAGGGAAAAGAATCATACTATATCCCTCAAAAGTAAGCAACCTAAGTTGAATTCACTATACTAACTAGATTGAAGCTTTTGTGGTTGATACTGTTAGATGCTCTATTTGTTGGATTGAAAGAGTTCAAAGGAAGAAAGATCCGTAAACCTTGGGGTATTATTAGTACGTAGTTTGCTGATGTTAGTTGCTACATTCATTTCATTTCATTCACTAGCAGGATATGGTTATTTTTCCAGTGGTGGTGATGTAAATGCTTAAATATTTTAAAGAGTTTCTAAAGGCACTTCTAGAGAAACAAAATCATCAGTGGTTTCTTGGACTTCTCCAAAGGCTGACAATGCACCCTTGGAAGCTGTTCGCATATTGTTGTCCCACATTGCCCTGATTACGTTCAACAGAAGCTTCGCAGAGCTGAAACTGTCCATTAACTTAAGAGGTTTCTGAAAATACTGAAAGTCTAGCGAATTAGTTAAATATAGTGCCCACTAATTTGGACGGTTGTATTTCAAATTGGTATCATAGTCAGCACTTGCATGGAGATCTTTTGAGTCTTTATTCAAAGAAAGTTGTTTGCAATTCAGGTTTGGATCTTCATGCTACAGCGGAAGCTGTGATCTGTGAATATGAATGGGGGTGACCTTCAGTCATTGATGATGATGGTATTGTGTGGCACAACTTCCTTAAAAGGGCTCTCTATCTGCTGCTGATGCTCGGAAGAATGTTAGAAGCTGGAGATTTGAAACGGATTGGCAAAGACTTGGTTAGTGATCCTTCACAGACTTCCTACTTACGATCATATGAGCAAGTGGTATAATGTGAATTCTCACTCCTATATGCTGTGCTGAAAGGTTTTACAGCTTTGAGTAATCGGTAAATCCCTTCGGTGTTTGCTTGCTAAACTTTGCTGGGTCGATGAAGAGTTTAGAGGTTCTTACTTATGGAAGCTGCAGTCAGAGTTGGCTTGGAATGGTCTATCCACTGCGGTTGGAAGTCTCGAAATCAAAGTTTTTGCGAGGTTGAGATCTTAATGCAGTTGATTTTGCTGTTAGAATGATAGAGGTTATTGCTTACTGTTGAGAGTTTGTTCCATTACTTGATGAAAGACTCACGGTATCGAGCATGTGGGAGGGTATTGAATGTACGACTACCAATCAAAAATTTTTTAAGTGTTTTCTGTATTCTTTTGATGCCTTTATCGTCATATTATTTCTCCCACTATGTGCAAGGTATAAACATTAGTCTCCGAACTTTAGGAAATCTTTTGGATTTTTGTGTCTCCACTATGGTACTTCACTAGCTACTATGCACGGGAATTGAAGTATTAATTGCGGTAACTTTTTAAAATGTGAAGGAAACAACTAAAACTGCACTCCTTACCAAAAAAAACTAAAACTGCACTAGATCTTTTGCAAATCATTTTCGTAATTTTCTTTATTTAAGAATATACGTGAAGGATGACTTTGTTAAATTTATGAGTTAATAAATGATACATATTTTTAATAATAAACACTGTATCGTTTCAAAAGTATCTATTAGAAAGAACATACGAGTGTTAACACCGTTCAGCCGAAATTTCCAAAAGAGCTTGTACTCACTTCTAAAAAGGAAACGAAATAATTGATGGACTAGAAGCTGTGGAGGATATACACACTCCAACTCCACCCATTACGTTCAACAGAAGCCTCACGGAGCTCAAACTGTTCACAAATTGAGCGGTCTCTATATGATGAGGTCTGGTGCATTGGCTCGATTTAATGCGCAGTAATGATGGAACATGGTATTTCACTTTGGTATGTTGATTGGCACCCATATGGAATCTTTTGGATTTTCGTTCACCGAGTTTTTATCTATGATGCAGGTTTGTGTCTTCATGCTGTGAATGGATGTGGCCTTCAGTATTTGAATTATACAACCTAAAGTTGAAATTTTGTCTGCATTCCTTAATTGGCTCTTTATCTACTACTCATGCCTCGGAGATCGTTAGAAGCAAGAGAATTGAAGCGAAATTGCACAAACTGTGTGATTTAAACCCAATGTTTGATCACTTGGTTAGTCATCCTCAATAAACTTAAGACGAGTCTGCGTCCAGTCAAGGTTAAATTTCTGAAATTATTGGTAAATCTGTAATATTGATAGTCGAAAAGGCATAACCCACAACTTGATTGTCAGGTGATTTGCTAGTAATTTACAAGCGCTATCAAGAATTTTCCAACTTTAAATGAATTAGTAAACTATTAAGTCCTCCAAAATTAGTTACAAACAGTTTGTAACTAGTTTAATCAAATTTTCGACAATTTGATTTCTAGCTCAATTTGACAATTGACCCATAAGGAAGGGAGCCCAATCTCATATGAGGGGAATAAGAACACTAAAATTTCGCACAGCACTCACTTGAGGACCATAACTTTTTTTTGCTAACTTGAATGTCATAAATTTTAAAAATCGATCACTTAAGTACCATCGGCGATTTGTCTCACTGGAGAATCTGACGTGGCATTAATTTATAATATATCGTTCGATATAGCGTACCGGCAAGTTGAAGTCAGCAATTGAGAAAGTAAACAACGTCGCTTACTCATTTGATTGAAGAACCCTAGCCTTACTTAAAAAAATTTGAGGCAAAATTCAATTTTCATCTTCAAGAACCCTAACCGAACGTGAACCTCAATTCTTCAAATTGGGGCAAATCATCTCATCAAATTCGCAATGGAGAGCAGAAGTAGGAGAAGCGGCTCATGATTTTATTAGCAAAGTAAAGCCAATATGAAAGCCAAGACGCATATCCAAAGCAACTTTGTTGGGATAACTATCTTGCATGAGCAGTAAGCCAGTCGGAATCTCATGAGCAACATCATCCCTGAAATCTTTTCAATGTTAAGTTTTGCACCCACAACGCGGATACACTCTTACTAGCATATTAAAAAGGGATCTTGATGCCGAAGTGCGAAAGAAATTAGGCTAAACAAAAGAATCGAAAGATAACGAGGAACAAACTGTTCTCTCAATCGATTAACAATCAAAATATCCAAAGTCTGCTCAAACAAAACCCTAAAACAAGCTTATATATCCCCAAACCTAACCCTACTAGGATTAATAAACATCAAAACGTAAAATTACGAAACTGCCCTTTACTAAATTAACCCATAAAAAATACTAAAATAATAGAAAAACCCATCTAAACGACCCCGAATCGCGAAAATCCATCGTTAGTCACAGCCAACAGCGGTGAGTATTGATCAGCACGCCGTTTCGCTTCAGCCGATCAAATTTGAGCTCAATCCGAGATCATTGACTTCGAGCCCGTCGGTTCGTCTAATCGTATAACGGGTCCACTGGTCCCCCTAGGTGCATCTTCCCCTGCTAGAGAAAGATTCGTCCTCGAATCTGCTTCGCCTTCATTGTCATCAATCTCTTTAGGATCTTCTTCCTCTTCAGCGTAGTAAGGTGACAAATCTGCTACATTAAAAGTTCCGGATACATTATACTTACCCGGCAAATCGATCTTGTAAGCATTGTCACTAATTCGCTCCAAAACTCTGAAGGGTCCATCAGCTCTAGGTTGAAGCTTGCTAAACCTACCAGCTGGAAATCGTTCTTTCCTAAGGTGTATCAAAATTAGATCACCTTCCTTGAAGACGACTCTTTTCTTGCATATATCCACGCGCTACTTATACTTAATGTTCTGCCAGTTGATCTGATTATGGACCTGGGAATGCAGCTCTTTGATATGCTTTGCATGTTCTTTAGCTTCCGAACTAAATTGCTTGAGAATTGGTATCGGTGTGAGATCCAATGAAGTAATTGGATTACGCCCATAAACCACCTCAAAAGGAGTCTTGCCTATAGTTCGGTTCTCAAATCTGTTATATGCAAATTCTGCCTGAGGCAGTGCCAAGTCCCACTGTCGCGGATTATCTCCAATCAAACTCCGCAGCAAATTTCCTAAGCTTCGATTTGACAACTTCTGTCTGGCCATCAGTCTGAGGATGATGAGATGAACTAAACTTCAAACTTGTGCCCATGTACCTCCAAAGAGTGCGCCATAAGTGATTCACAAACTTCACATCACGATATGAGGTTATGGACTTAGGAATTCCATGCAACTTAACAATCTCCTGCAGAAACAATCGAGCAACCTGTGAAGCATCATAGGACTTGCTACACGGGACAAAGTGGGCCATCTTCGAGAACCTATCGACAACCATCATTACTGAATCCTTACTCCGCTGCGTTCTTGGCAAATCCAAGACAAAGTCAAGACTGACATCCTCCCACGGTGCAACTGGAATAGGTAGAAGCATATACAATCTTGCATTAGTACTCTTGGTCTTTGCCACATGACATACCCTGCACCTCTCTATAAAACGTGTCACGTCACGCTCCATCCGAGGCCAATAAAAATGTTCACTCAGCAAGGCCTTCGTCTTATCCACGCCAAAGTGCCCAGCTAAACCTCCTGCATGTCCCTAAATAATAATAGATTCCCTCAAAGAACATTGAGAAATGCACAATCTGTTACCTTTAAATAGGTAACCCTCCACGATCTGAAATTGCTGAAAAGGCTCCATTTTGGTCTTCCTGCAAATATCCCCAAAATGAGGATCATCAACATATAAATCTTTAAAAGTATCAAAGCCTAGAACTTTTACCTGCATCGTAGACAGCAAAGAGTTTTTTCTGCTCAATGCATCTGCCACACTATTTAGCACTCCTGCTCTATGCTTGATGGAAAAACTGAAAACTTGAAGGAACTCCACCCACTTCGCATGCCTTACGTTCAATTTGTGCTGCCCATTGATGTATTTCAAGGCTTCATGATCAGAAAATAAGATAAACTCTTTCAAAATAAGATAGTGCCTCCAATGCTCCAAACTCCTTACAATAGCATAAAATTCTTTATCATAAGTTGAATACTTCCTTTTCGCCTCATTCAACTTCTCACTAAAGAATGCTACAGGTTTACATTTTTGACTCAGGACACCTCCAATACCAACACCTGAAGCATCACAATGTACCTCAAAAATCTCATTAAAGTTAGGAAGCACGAGAACATGTGCTTCAGTCACCTCTTCTTTAATAATTGAAAGGCAGCTTCTACCTCCTTAATCCACACAAATTTACTTCCTTTCAGACAATCCGTCAGAGGTGCAATAATAGTACTGAAATCCCGAACAAATCTCTGATAAAAAGATGCAAGCCCATGAAAGCTACGTACCTCATGAATATTTTTCGGAATCTCCCAATTTGTAATAGCCTCAATCTTAGTTGAGTCCATCTGAATGCCCTCCTTAGTTACTATATATCCCAAAAAGGTCACACGATCAGTCAGGAAGTGACACTTCTTGGTATTAGCAGATAATTTCTGCTCCCTCAATGTCTCAAACACCCTTCTCAAATGCTGCAAGTGTTGATCAGTCGATGCACTATAAACCAAAATATCATCGAAATATACGACGACAAACTGGCCAATAAAAGGACGAAACACCTGATTCATCAGTCTCATAAAGGTGCTCGGCACGTTAGATAACCCGAAAGGCATCACCATCCACTCATACAGACCATCTCGAGTTTTAAAAGCGGTCTTCCACTCATCTCCAGGACGCACCTTAATCTGATGATATCCACTCCTCAAGTCTATCTTCGAAAAGATAGTCGCTCCATATAGTTGATCAATTAAATCATCAAATCTCGGGATAGGAAAGTGATACCTGATCGTGATCTTGTTGACAGCTCTACTATCTACGCACATTCTCCATGACCCGTCTTTCTTAGGAACCAACAAAGCTGGCACTGCACAAGGGCTCATGCTCTCTCGAGTTCCACCCATTTCTAATAGTTCCTGCACTTGCCTCTGTATCTCCTCATGCTCCTTAGGATTCATTCTGTAAGCTGCCTTATTAGGAATAGCAGCTCCTGGAACGAGATCTATACAATGCTGAATGTCCTTCATGGGTGGCAATCCAGGTGACAATTCCTCCGGTACGACATCAGCAAACTCCTCAAGTATAGGCAGAACTTGAGTTGAAATTTCTGGACTATCAAGATTCTGCTCCATGACTACAACAGCAAAAAGCTCTAGGGCATTCACCGCCTCCTCCTGGAACTCTGATTTGGAAAGCAGATTACTTTTCCCTTCTTTTCTCAAATCTGAAGGACCCAGAGTAATGGTCCGACCATCCTTCTTGAAGGTGTACGTATTTTTGAATCCGTCATGCTGTGTTTTCCTGTCAAACTGCCAAGGTCTTCCTAACAGAATATGACAAGCATCCATTGGAACTACGTCACCCCACACTTCATCAGTATATTTCTTCCCAATCGAGAACTGCACTAAACACCTCTTGCTCACTTTTACCTCATTCCCCTTCCTAAGCCATGACAGCTTATATGATTGAGGATGTTTGACAGTTTTCAACCCCAACTTTTCTACCATAGTGGTAGATATCACATTCTCGCAACTTCCCCCGTCAATTATCATACTACACACCTTTCCCCCACTAGTGCACTTAGTATGAAAGATATTATGCCTGAGCCACGATTCATCATCTACCTCAGCAATATTTAAAACCTGACGCACAACTAAAGACTCACCAGAATCGGCATAGACAATGTCCTCCGGATCTAGATCCGCATCTTCTTGCTCTCCATCAGATTCATCAAAAGTTGGATTATCTACAAGTGTCACAAACTATCGGTTCGGACAATCAGCAGCAAAATGCCCGAGTCCTTGACACTTGAAACATTGCTTGCCCTGCAGCTCCTCCCCTGCTAGATCCAGCACTACCCTGCTTTTTTTTTTGTTGCAGATTTTGAACCAGCGCCCTTAACTGCTGCCGGGGCTGAAGAACTCCCTACTTTCCCTCGGGACTCTTTATCTGACCACTTGAAACTGCTGCCTGACCACTTAGAACCGTTGCTAGACCACTTGAACTTACTTCTCTTTCTTTTAAACTGCCTCTCCACCTTTAGGGCTAGTCTGCACACATCTTCATATGTCCAATACTACTGTAATTGGACAATATCATAGATCTCATATCGCAGCCCTGCCAGATATCGAGCAATCGTCTGCTCGTCTTCCTCCGCCACATCACAACGCATCCGCAAGCGATCAAATTCCTTTGTAAATTCCTCAACTGTTTTATCACCTTGCTTGACGTTATGATACTCGATAAACGCCTCTTGCCTATAATGGGTAGGCAAAACAAAATTTTGCAACAACTTTTTCATCCTCTCCCAGCAATCCACCTTCGACTTCCCCTCTCTAGCGCGTTGCTTGTTCACGTGTTCCCACCAAATCGAAGCATGTTTTCGCAGCCTAATAGCCACTAACTTCACTTTTTGCCCATCGGTTAGGTCTTTAAGATCAAAAATCCGTTCTACCGTATGTAACCAATCAATAAACTCATCAGGATGAGCCTCACCATTAAACTTGGGAATCTCGATCTTCATCCCGAAATTTTGAGAAGAGCGCTGATTTCCAGGTCGTACTCCTTGATTCCGCCCTTGGTTCAAAACCCCGAAAGGGTTTACGTCCTCCTTTTCATCATCGGATGGATCCTCAGATTCTGCTTCTTCTTCCGATTGAGCATCAAGCCCTGCCTCCGCAAGACATCGCTCCAAATCCTGGATTCGCCTTCTCTGTTCCTGAATTTCTATATCTCGCAGGTCTCTTAGACGCGGCTGTTCATCTGCATAAGGAACGACTCCACGCCCCCGGCCTCCACGAGCACGCTGTCTTCGACCACCTCGATTCTGTTCAGCCATTGATTCAGATAACCTATGCTCCGATACCAATTGATGCCGAAGCGCAAAAGAAATTAGGCTAAACAGAAGAATCGAAAGATAACGAGGAACAAACTGTTCTCTCAATCGATTAACAATCAAAATATCCAAAGTCTGCTCAAACGAAACCCTAAAACAAGCTTATATATCCCCAAACCTAACCCTACTAGGATTAATAAACATCAAAACGTAAAATTACGAAACTGCCCTTTACTAAATTAACCCATAAAAAATACTAAAATAATAGAAAAACCCATCTAAACAACCCCGAATCGCGAAATCCATCGTTAGTCACAGCCAACAGCGGTGACTATTGATCAGCACGCCGTTTCGCTTCAGCCGATCAAATTTGAGCTCAATCCGAGATCATTGACTTCGAGCCCGTCGGTTCGTCTAATCGTATAACGGGTCCACCGGTCCCCCTAGGTGCGTCAGATCTTATTATGGATTGTAAAGATTATGTATCAGTTCATTCAATAGAATTGACTAGAAAGAAAAAAGGAGAGGAACAAAAGGATCTACTTTTTTTACGAAAAGAGATATCATAGTCTTATTCACCAAGAAAGCTTTGAGGAATAATATTTTTATTCACTCAATTTGATAATATAAGTTCTGTTATTTTTCTCTATTTTTAATAATATGTACTTAAACTAAAAACATAAGTTTTTGGTACTCGAAAATACTGCATTCTAGATAATAGTGAACAAACATTCTCCTCTTGAAAAAAAAAAAAACTAACATTCCTAATTCTACGCTAAATTCTACGACATCTTTTTTTATTTTCGTTTAGTTTTACTATAGTACGTCACATCACGTATTCTTTGTTTAAATCCACTTAGATCGGAAATAGCACACCGAAATTCTCATTCTTCCTCAAAAGCTGAAGTTGATTAATCATAATTATGCATTTCCTTTAAATACCTTTGCCTTTGAATGGCCAAATTTGTGAAAAGCTTGAACTTTAGCATTTTGCTTTTCATAATATGTACAGCAAACCCCTACCCTAAGTATGGTAACTCGATTATGACAGCGTAGACACAACACAGACTGTTTGTCTTGGGCCCGAGCTTGGCACGGCCCCTCACAGCAAGGGATCCTACCATGATGGGCTCGTTAGAAAAAGGGGCTGTGTCGATGCCTAGGCACTGACAAGGCTCAAACCTTTTATTATTATTATTATTATTATTATTATTATTATTATTATTATTAAGGGTGATGAATTGTAGTCATAAAAAAAGTGAAGATATAACAATAGTATAGGATCTAGATGACAATTTTCATTTATTTAATCATGGAAAGAAATTCCTTGTAGCACGGAAAAAGAATAACTTCTTGCCAACGAAATGCATCCTCATGTTGTTTTCCTTGAGGGAATCATTAAAGGCACGCTAAGCATTGTTGGGTCCTCTTTTCCACGTTAAAGGATGAACCCTCTTCTTTTTCTTTGTCTTTTCGCTTTATTTCTTTTAATTATCACTTTGCTTCTTCACATAATTTTCCTCGGATTCTCTCGGGCCAGCATTTGATAAATGAATTTTTGTAAGCCAGCAGCAATTGATAAAATCATATAAGACCAAAATCTTCATATTTTTTTTGTCGATATTCAATGAGATTTGTAAAGTAACGTGTTTTCACTCTTTCGCGTATCAAGTCTTACATAATGGCAATTTTTATTATAAGTGCTATCAATATCTGGAATTTTCTTTCAATTTTATTAAAAAAGATATGCACTTTTACTCGAAAAGCACGCGCTCTCCATCAATTGAAGTTTGAAAAATAAGTGCAAGTTAGTTACAAGTAATGTTAATAGATATACTAATATCGATGTGTTAAGTGATATGACCAAATCATGATTTATCATTTGGCAAATGAATAAGTAAGTTTTTTTCCAAAGTAGATGCTATAACAGCACTTGTCTTTTATTCTTGGTTTTATTTCTTTTCATTGCTTCTGCATCGAAATTTCCTTAGATATTTTCTTCTAGCTTGACAAGTTTTTGAATTACTGACGATATTGGTTGCCAACTGGTTTTTCTTTTCTTTTTTATTTTTGGTCGAAGGTTGCCAGCTGGTTCAATAAATCATACCTATAAAGAGACAATGGGCAACGAGAAGGCATTTCACTTTTCCTTACAGGCATTTTGGTTTACTTCTCCATCAGACTTGAAAGGAAAATTTGAGTGCATAGTCTGAGCAAAGAAGATATGCATCGTGCAATTTTTGGGCATTCTTTCGCCGTGCTCATGGCGCCGATCCTTCTCTCCGGGCTTGCGTTATATTTTCTCAATAAGAAGAAAAATAGCGTGCGTAGAAGTGTAGAAGGCGCATCCGGTTTGTCGACTTCACTCACAGAAACTAATTCTGATGCATCTAGTTCATCGACCGCACCGACAAAAACTGATAACTATACGTCTACTTCATCGATCGTGACGACCGGAAACCGGTACGACGTGTTCTTGAGCTTTAGAGGCCCAGATACTCGAGAAGGCTTCACCGATCACCTCTACAATAGGCTTGTCGATGCCGGAATTCGGGCTTTCAGAGACGATAATGAGCTCCGCCAAGGCGAGAAGATCGGCCCAGATCTATTGGCAGCCATCGAGAACAGTAAGATCCTGATCCCCATTCTCTCCGTGAATTATGGTTCGAGCAAATGGTGCCTTGATGAACTGGTCCGTATAATGGAGTGCAAGAACAATTGCACGGGGCATTTAGTGTTGCCTATATTCTACAAAGTGGAACCAGCTCACGTGCGACATCAAAACGGGAGTTTTGGAGACGCATTTCGTACACGCGAGAGACGTTTTGAGCTCCGCCAAGGCGAGAAGATCGGCCCAGATCTATTGGCAGCCATCGAGAACAGTAAGATCCTTATCCCCGTTCTCTCCGTGAATTATGGTTCGAGCAAATGGTGCCTTGATGAACTGGTCCGTATAATGGAGTGCAAGAACAATTGCACGGGGCATTTAGTGTTGCCTATATTCTACAAAGTGGAACCAGCTCACGTGCGACATCAAAACGGGAGTTTTGGAGACGCATTTCGTACACGCGAGAGACGTTTTGATTCAACAATTTTGGAGAAATGGAAGCAAGCACTCAAAGAAGTCAGTGACTTGAAAGGATGGGAAGCCAAAGGGTACTTCATTTTTTCACCGAAACAATCTCTAATTTCTTTTAATTTGTGTGGGTGCTTTCAGGTTGTTCTGATTCCTACCTGCTTCATTTTCTTTTCTTTTGTTTTTTCTAGGGGGAAAGCCACCAAAAACCTCAAATTATGCCAACAGAGACACATTTATCCAATTTTTTTTTACACCCAAAACTTCATATTTGTACTCGTGTAACACATGTATCCCAAACTTTTGTTTTGTGATACCGAAAACTCCAAATTTGTACCGTGTGACACATTTACCCCATCAAGACTCTATCAATGAGTACCTTTAAAAAAAATCCATATTTGTGCACGCTGTTCTGTGTGGCCTGCTTCTTAGACTGGTCTTCGTTGGTCTTAACATCCACTTGTTTGTATAGGTAGAGACCGAGTACGCTGCTAAATAATCCGAAGTGTAGGTACTGTTGTGGATTCTCTCCGTGCTTGTAGCCTCTGATTCACTTCTTATTGGTTTCAATCTTTTGTTATTAATGTGAAACTCAGCAACTGCTCCAGTGTCTCCTTGAGTCTAGGTTGTTAATTGATACTAGACTGCAGGCATTTGCAACCAATAATTGTGTTTTTCTTGATCTCTAGCAACATCAGCCATTTCATATGATGTGAGGAAACCGACAGTAATCCGAGAGGTTAAATATATGCTTTGCTTTTCCCCTTCTACAGTCTGAAATTCTGAGTATACCAGATTCATTGCTCAGCAAATATGGACAGTTGGTAATTAAACATCCACGAGCCTCAGTGTCAACAGTTGAATACACAGAAATAAGTAGTTAAACATGCACGAGCCTCAGCCATGCCAAGAAGTTATTATTTTTGTAGTTTTTATATTGACCAATATAACTATAGATTTTATTGTTATGATCCAATTCGCTTAAATAATATAAGATTTTTCAAATGATTTTTTTTACTCTTATATCCGAAGATTTTGACCAATCTAACTATATATTTTATTGTTATGATCCAATTCGCTTAAATAATATAAGATTTTTCAAATGATTTTTTACTCTTATATCCAAAGATTTTGTAACATAGTGCCATTTTTTTTTTCAGGTTTATAGCCTAAGCTACATTAATTTTCATCTCAAACTTTCTAATTACATATTTATTTTAGGTTAGTACAATTTATTGGTGGTTTCTATTTATATCTCACAACATCATATATACCCTGCATTTTGATTGGCAAAGCCATAATTCTTTATCTTCCCAAGTTACATGTAATAAATCATCAATGTCGTTAATTAGTTCCTATAAAATCATTTTTAGAAAAGAAATATTTCATTGGTTATATATGTGATGATGGTAAACATAAAATAAGAAAAAAGGTTATCTTTATAATATGCTTGTTTAGGTAATTTTTAATGCATTTTCTTATCTTCAACACATCTTTTTATCTCATATACCTGCATAATTGAAGGGATGTTCTTATTTTAAGGAAAATTATTCTTCCACTCCCCAATCAATATTAGATGAATGAAAATCATAGAACATAGATACTCAAAGGGAAAATAAAGTTAAACCTGTTATCATCCCTAGACACAATGAAAACTGAAAAATAAAACGAAACTAGAATGGTACTAAATTCACAACATGAGTAGAAACTTGCCAGCGTGTAGAATTCCGCAAATAAGGAGAAATCTCTTCAATTGTATTTAGGTAGTTCATAATATATCACTTAGAACGACTTTCCGGATTGGTATTACATGACTTGTATTCCTCTTGCATCAAAAGTTTTTACTTGTTTATTGATTGATCACTGAACTCTCATACCAGGCTAGCTTATTAAATTTTGCTCTAGAAAGTTCCCAAAGTCGTGTCCCCTTTATACCCAATATCTTTAACAACCAACAAGTTTTAAATTTGATTCACGTATATAATAAATACAATATTCAAGATTCATTAGCAATACCTCAAGTTTCTTTTGGCTTAGCAAATTATGTTAGAGTAATGGAATGGGGTACGACGTCTAAAGAAACCACCAGCATTTCCTACTCTAGTCATTGCATATAAGATAATACATGGATGTGTGACAAAACAATTCTTAAAGTTTTGTTATTTTTTCCCCAAATTTATTTACTATTGTCTCTTTAGACAAACAATATAAAATTATTGTTGCCACATCTTTGAACTCTTGTCATATTTGACAGGTATGAAGGAGAATTAGTGAAAAAGGTTGTCCAAAAAGTGTTAAGCGAATTAAAGAAAGAGTTTGAGTTGGTTATTCCTGAAAATTTGGTCGGAATTGATAGTCATGTGGAGAAGATTATGGAATTTGTAGATAAGAAGTTTAGCGCTACCCAATTTGTTGGAATCCATGGAATGGGAGGCATTGGCAAGACAACTCTTGCTAAAACTATCTACAACAAGCTCTTCCATCAATTTGAGTATCACAGCTTCATTGCAGCTATTAGGGAATCAGGTAAGCGTAATGGTCTTGAGTATTTGCAAAATCAGTTAATCTCTGATATATTGAAGCAAAAAAATCAAGTTAATAATAAAGATGAAGGGATTAAGTTCATCTCGTCCAAGTTTGAAGGTAAGAAAGTTCTCATCCTTCTTGATGATGTGGATGATGATGATCAGTTGAAGGCTTTGGCTGGAAATCATAATTGGTTTTCTTCGGGGAGTAGGATCATCATTACGACCAGAAACAAGAGTATTCTTGAGAATGCTGGGGTGGACCACAGCTATGAACATAAGGAAATGGATATGAATCACTCTTTGATTTTGTTTTGTAGACATGCATTTAGAAGGGATTCTCCTCCAAGTGAATTTGAGGAAGACACTCATAAAGTTGTATCCACCACCGGAGGACTTCCCTTATCTCTAGAGGTTTTAGGTTCATTCCTTTGCGGAAAAAAGCCAACACTGTGGCGTGATACAATAAACAAGTTACAAAAAGTCCCTCATAAGAAAGTGCGAGAAAAGTTAAAGATAAGTTACGAAGCATTAGAGCATGGACAAAAACAAATATTTTTGGATATAGCTTGCTTTTTCATTGGCACCGATGGAAGAATTGCATCCTACATGTGGGACACTTGTGGCTTTTTCCCAGAGGAGGGAATTGAAGTATTGATATTTATGTCATTGATAAAAGTTGGAGATGATCATAAGCTTAGAATGCATGACCAATTGAGAGATCTTGGTAGGGAAATTGTTCGTGAGGAAAACCAGCAAGAACCTCAGTACCGTAGTAGGCTATGGGATTCCCAAGAAGTCCTGAAAGTGCTAAAGGGAAATAAGGTAACTGTTTCTCTTCTTTTGCTCCCTGAGTCCTTGTGGTATTGTCAAGGTGATGTTGGTCCTCTACTTAGTGCTTGCTTTAGTGAACAAAGAATCTGCTAATATTATCGCCATTTAGACATTTAATTGACGTGATTAGAAAGTAGGAGATTGCTCTCTCTTAGTAAGTATTGCAGCTTATTTGAGATTTTTCTTAAACAAAGTCTACATTACGAAGTTTTCTCCAAGAATGAAGTACTTTCAAATTTATTAGATGCTTGATAGAGGTATTCAATATTGACAAGATCGTGAATTTGAATAATTGATTCAGTTACGTGCCTGACACATGCAATAAATAAGCTCACTATGCTACTGTAAAACCATGACAACTTAGTATATATAAATGATAGAATTCTAATCTCTTGGTTTTGGCCTTAATATGATAAGACTAACCATGACCACATTTCTCATGAGATTAATCATGTGATTTTGTTGTATAGTTTTGACTCTATTACTTTTAATCCATCATTTTGCTTGACTCAAGTTGTTGCTCAAAAGACTAGCACTTATTTGTATTTTCAATGTGCAACCTATTTATAATGTCAAGAGACAATTCACATATTAACAAATTCAGAGCCAATGTCTAGTTATTATGTCTTTCATATTATATCATAAAATAAACTAAACTAACCGAAAGAAAAACGAATATGCTGTATATTTTATATCAAATAAATTGGTTAACTAACTTTTACAATTAAAAAGGTTAAATTATTTGATGCATTTGTTTCCGTATATTTGCCGGGTTCACTGTCCTGCTCATGATCCTATCATAAATCGAAATCAAAGTGATTTCGATAGAACTAATATAAGTTCTTTTTAGTTTATTCCTACATGTAATCAAATTATCTAAATTTATTTTCACTTATATTATCTAAATGTACAATTAAAAAAACCCATCCAAAGTGCGAAGCATGGACAGGAGCACTAGGATGACCACATAATAAACAAAAAATGAAAGACATTTAAGGCATAATTGAAACACATTCATAACTCACTCCGTGGATATTATGCAGCCAAATAAAATAAAAAAGCACAACCTTTTGCTCCCAAGACAAAAATGACAACCTTTAAAAAGCCTAAAGAGAAGCCCAATCTTTTGCATGTGGGATAAAAATAATACAACCTTTCAAATTTGCCAGAGAAAAGCTCAATTTTTCACACATGGTATACTATTGACGCCAGTTACAATTCTGCTTATTCTCACCTTCACTTGCCACAAGTCATCCTACACGGCCCATTGTGTTGACATGCACGATGGATCATGCTGATCATGACGACAAACAAATTTTTTTTTTTAAATGCTGGAAATTTGGTAACATAGATTATATTCTAAGTTTCTCGATGAAGATTATAACTAAAAAACGACGTCGCTTTTTGTGTTGGTTGACGTGGTTCACTGAGCCATACTGAGTGTCCATGGCTATTTAACAATGATAATGGACGGAATGTGTAACGGGTGTCAATTTTTCCATGGGTCAAAGGTTGGGTTTTTTGGTGTTATTTTTGTCCTATATGTAAAAGGTTAGGCTTTTTTATGTTTGAAAAATTGTGTTAGTTTTGTTTCAAGTACAAAAGATTGGGCTTGTTTTTGTATTTGGCCGTGAGTATATTCAAGCTCTATTGAGTATTGATCGACTATTGAAGGTGAAAAAATTACACACTTTGAAACATAAATTTTTCATTAGGACGGCGCTATTTCTACTAAATCCATTCACTTTTCGCCAAAAAGACAAAATTGCCCAATCATTAAATTGCAATTTATTATGGTGACCCCAATTTTTTTTTTTGTTTTGTTATTTTATTTCTAATCCATTCTGATGAAGCAACTATTTGTTCGTTTGACCCAAAATTAGATTAGGAATAGCTATTCTCTGAAAATCGGGTTGCTATTCCTAGGGGGCCATGGAATTAATAACTATACCATGTAGCCAAGAATAGCTTTAATTTTCATGATTCAGAAATGACTTTGCATTTAAAAAAATGAATTATGTTTACATTAAATCAAAATTATAATATAAGGACTTTGTTTATTATATTTATTATAGTTAAATAATTCAAGTATATATAACTATGATTGATTTATTATACATTAAATTGTAATCTAAAATTAAATTATAATTTATACTAAAACAATATGTTATAGAGAGTGTAAATTCATTAATATTATTATCTTAGTTACTTATAATTAGAACAAAATTATTAATAATATTTCAAATTACTATCAATAAAATAATAAATCAAAATAGGATATTAATATAACTACATTAACATGTTTAGTTAATTATATTCAGTTATTACTCCAATTGGAAAATAAAAAACAAGTATTTGTTATTCTTTTTATTAATTGCATCAATAGCAAAGTCGATTAATTTACAAAGAACTAAACATAAAGAAAGAAAAAGAAAAGAGGGCTTCATAATGTTAAAATTTCTTTATGTTGAGAGAAGTTTTTTTTCCCAATTGTTACAATTTTTAGAATAACTATGTATCCATGTGATTGGAGTTCATTTGGATATATAACATGAAAGTCACAAATTGATCAAATCAACTTTTGATTTTGCACATTGTAACTTGATTAAATCCTGTGCACAGCACGTACACCCAAACTAGTATAGTAATAAAGTCACATTACAGGAAAGAAGAGGATTTACAAGTTGTAAAGTTTTACCATATATAAGCGATTAGATCAAAGGGTAAAAGAACGTCTATATTAGAAACTATAAATTATTATAACAGAGAACATCATAATTCTTTTAAAGATCAAAGTACTTATGGCCAACTTTCAAAATCGAAGTTGACATCCTTCAGTTTGTTGCCCTTTATAAATTCTGTTTATTGGCCAAAAAAGAAAGTCGTATCTTCACTTTGCTAGTCTCTTTAAAACATCTGTGCATGTTCATAGCAGTATGAACAAACGTTATTAGATTACTTAATATGATATATATATATGTATATATATAGTATTGATGAACATTTGTTTTTTATTTATAGGGAACAGAAAAGATTCAGGCCATTTATCTTAGTAAAGGTAGTTCAGAATGCTCCGGCAAAATAGCTGACCAAGATGGCGATATCCACACGGGCGAACAATTTAAGAATTTAACGAGTTTAAGGTTCCTTCACGTGAGTGGGGCACATTTTAGTGGAGATTTTAAGAACTCTACCGAGGAGTTAAGATGGCTTCGATGGTGGAATTGTCCCTCGACTTTTGAAGCAGACAATTTTCATGTAAAGGAATTAGTTGTACTCGATTTGTCGAGAAGCAAGATTTCAGATGAATGGCGAGGATGGAGTTCCATCATGGTAAGATGGAAGAACAAGTCTTTTTTTTTCTGCTTTCTTTTATTAATCATAGCTAAACTATGCTAACTTCTTGACAATTTTCTTTTTTTGGTCAGATGGCAAAGAAGCTAAAATTTCTCGACCTTACAGAATGTCGGTCTTTGAAAGGAACTTTCTACCTTTCTACCTCTCAGCTTTTACAAATTTAGAGGTTTTGATCCTCCAAAATTGTGAGGAAGTGGAACAAATTGACTCTTCGATCGGAGAAATGAAGAGTCTGGTACGCTTGGACTTAGGGTTTTGTAGGATGCTCAAGGAGCTGCCAGCAGAAGTGGGTAAATTAGAAGCATTAAAGCAACTCCTTCCACAATATTGTCCCAAAATTTCTATAGTGCCAGACAGTATAGAAACTCTGCGGAATCTAGAAATTCTAGATATGAGGAGCAGTGGGATAAAAAAATTGCCAGAGAGTATACGGGCTTTGCAAAATCTAAAAATTTTGGAGATTAGTGAAACTAAGATAAAAGAATTACCAGAAAGTATAGGGGCCTTGCGGAATCTAGAAATTCTGAAGATTAGTGACACTCAGATAAGTGAATTACCGGAAAATATAGGGGGCTTGCAGAATCTAGAAATTCTATATATTGGTTGGACTAGGTTAAAAAAATTACCCAATGGTATTGGAAAGCTGACAAAGCTCCGAGAGCTAGATGTTGCATGCTCCAATATTTTTGAAGTACCAAAAAGCATCAGTAATCTTTCTTCCCTGCAAAGGCTGGAGTTTCATCGTTGTAAGAAGCTGCAATCGCTACCAGAGCTTCCTTCCAACTTAACGAGTTTGAGCGTCACCTGTCAAAGTCCTAGATTGCCTTCACTTTCCTACCTGACCCATCTTAAGAAACTCCAACTTTGGGACTGCAAAATTCTTGAGTGCATCTCGGAGCTTCCATCGACAATATTAGAGCTTTCAGAATGCTCCCACGTGACAGATGTTGAAGAATCAGAGTTACCAAAATCCGTAAACACTCCCTTCAATTTGAAAGAACTATGGATCTCGAAATGCGAGGTTATGCAAGTGCTGGATGTTTCCCAATTAAGCCATCTGACGTATTTATTTGCCGATAGTTGCTATAATTTACTTGAAATTCGAGGTCTTGACAAATTGATATATTTGGAAACATTGATAATCAAAAGTTGTAATTCGATTGAAAGGCTAGACCTTCCAAAATTCGGCAGTGTAAAGGTGTTATCTGTTGAAAATTGCAGAAAATTAGTCGAAATTCAAGGCCTTGATAGGCTGGAGTTCTTGGAAAGGCTGAAAATCCGCGGGTGCATTTCAATTGAAAGGCTAAACCTTTCAAAATCCACAAGTATGAAGAAATTATATGTTGAAAACTGTGAAAGATTAGTGGAAATTCAAGGCCTTGACAAGTTGGAGCTCTTGAAAGAACTAGGTATCTCTGGTTGCCCTTCAATTGAAATGCGTGACCTTCCAAAATCTGAGGGTCTAAAGATATTAAATGCTGAAAATATGCATGCCCCTAAAAAAGCATGGGGACATCTCATGGAAGCGTCAACGAGGTTTCGGAAAAAATGGACAGAAGACGACTAGGCTGAGTCAGAATAGTCGAGATGATCCACATTTCCTAACAAAGGTTCATAAAGTAGGTAAGCTATCTTCTCTTTTGAGATCTATTGCTCCATTTTCATTTGTATTTCCGGGTTTATGGTGTTTTTATTTTCTTACTTGAATTCAAGGAATCCAGGGGAGATGTTCATGGAAGTTAATGTGATGCTTTGGGGAATATTTCTGCTGATCATGCCAGTAATGGAAATAGATCAAAAGGCCTTCTAAGCGCATAATTTGTCATTAGTTTTCCGGTAAGATTATTCATCCTATGCAGAAAAATATAGATTCTCCGGGTTTGATTGATTCTGGAATGCTGGATCTACTGAATAAAAACTGATGTACACAGGCACTTGATAGCATGAGAAAGGTAATCGTATAGGTCGAGAAATGCTAAATGAAGATGTGAGGTTTTAGTTTGCTCTGCGCTCACTGTGCAATTGATGACTGCATATTTCTAAGGTACGCTTAATAATGGATTTACGATGCAAAAGGAACATGTTGAGAGGGGCATCTCTTAGTATGCATACGCTATTATTGACTTGGGACAAAATTTGTCCAACCATTGTGTTCCACTGTTTTTATCACAGGGAAATGTCTGCATTAGCTGATTAAGATAATTGTATCAGTCGAGAAACGCTAAATGCGAGAAAGACTCTTCTCCTAGTGGTGTGGTTGTAGAGTTAATAATGCCATCCGTCATTTGTCTGAACTTGAGTCAAGCAAATAATGAAGATGGCAAATGTGAACGAGAATGTCTCTGACATAATCGACTGCACGGCGATATAATCCCTTATATTATGCACAAGCTCTTATTAGTGCTTTTACTTGCTGAAAATAAAAACACTGGAAGCGTTTCCATAACTTTCCTTTATCCTATATGCCAAATTTGATTTTTTGTCTTATATTCTGATATATGAATAGCACGTAATGATAGGGAAAAGAATCATACTATATCCCTCAAAAGCAAGCAACCTAAGTTGAATTCACTATACTAACTAGATCGAAGCTTTTGTGGTTGTGATAATGTTAGATGTCGATTTGTTGGATTGAAAGAGTTCCAAAGGAAAAAAGATCCGTAAACTTTGCGGTATTATTAGTACGTAGTTCGCTGATGTTATGTGCTAGATTGATTTCATTTCATTCACTGGCAGGATATGGTTATTTTTCCAGTGGTGGTGATGTAAATGCTGAAATACTTTAAAGAGTTGCTAAAAGGCACTTCTAGAGAAACAAAATCATCAATGGACCAGAGCTCGACATTTCTTGGACTTCTCCAAAGGCTGACAATGCATCCTTGGAATGGTAAAGGATGTTCCCATATTGTTGTCTCCCATTGCCCTGATTACGTTCAACAGAAGCTTTGCAGAGCTAAAACTGTCCATTAACTTAAGAGGTTTCTGAAATACCGAAAGTCTAGCGAATTAGTTTAATATAGTGCCCAATAATTTGGAAGATTGTAGTCAGCACTTGCATGGAGGTCTTTTGAGTCATTATTCAAAGAAAGTTGTTTGCGATTCAGGGTTGGATCTTCATGCTACAGCGGAAGCTGTAATCTGTGAATTTGAATGGGGGTGGCCTTCTGTCATTTGAGTGGAATTTTTCAAGTTAATGCTGCCATTGACGATATTATTGTGTAGCACAGCTTCCTTCAAAGGGCTCTATCTACTGCCGATGCTTGGAAGAATGTTAGAAGCAGGAGCTTTGAAATGGATTGGCACAGACTTGGTTAGTGATCCTTCGTAGACTTCCTACTTTTGATCATATGAGCAAGTGGTCTAATGTGAATTCTCACTCCTATATGCGATGCTGAAAGGTTTTTCAGCTTTGATTCATCGGTAAAGCCCTTTGTTGTTTGCCTCCGAAACTTTGCGGGGCCGATGAAGAGCTCAGAGGTTCTTACTTATGGAAGCTGCAGTCAGAGTTGGCTTGGAATGGATGTATCCACCGCCGTTGGAAGTCTTGGAAACAAAGTTTTGCGAGGTCGAGATCTTATTGCAGTTGATTTTGCTGTTAGAAGGATAGAGGTTATTGCTTACTGTTGAGAGTTTGTTCCATTACTTGATGACAGACTCACGGTATTGAGCATATGGGAGGATATGGAATGGACGACTGCAAATCAAAATTTCTTAAATTCCATTAAGTTTGACCAATTTGAAAACGGATGCATCAGGATGGTGCCCCAATTCGGTTAATAAATGATCCTCATATATCATCACCACTTGGGCGATTGCTTCTCCTTCAGCACCACTTGATCCAACGGAGAATGAATCCTTCCATTGCTCCATGCCTGTTCAAAAGCGGTTGAGTCATTTTCCGTTACTTTTAGAAATAGTTGCGAGCAAAGCTATGTAGACCCACACAGAAAACAAGAAAACGAGGCAAAGGTAGTATAAAGTTGACCTTGACATGAATTCGAATCGACTTGAGTCGAGATTAGTTTCAGTCAACAGATTAAGATTAACTAATTCAACTATTCTGCATCTGTAAATTGAAAATTTTTTGGCATAATAATTAATTAAACCTTGATAGCAATTCTAAGGTTGGAACCATAGATAAGCATATCGATCACCTACGAGGAATGCATCGCCCGCCATAACCAAGAATGACGACCGTGAGGGTTCAAAGGCAATCCAATCGCCATCCTCAAGATCACGAAAAATTTCGTTGTGAGCTTGTGAAGTGAAATTAGAGTACCCTGCAACGAAACAGCCATACTCTTCTAGGGCAGAGACGACGCGTTTGGACGCGGAGATCAACAGATCCGTTCCGGGACTGAGATTTTCAAGGGAAAATTCTATAACAGGAAGCTCAGGCAATAACCCAGATTAAGAACCAATTGGAATTAATTAATTATGCAAAAAGTTTTCTTTTTCTCTGGGTTTATTAGTGTTGATTTATTAGGTCCCCCCTTGCGGATGTAAGACCAGACAAATAAAAATTTGGCGTAACATCATGTTTAAGAAATTATGATACGAGGAACGGTTTGGATTTAAAATACTTGTCGCGATCTCTCCTGATTACTTTGGAGGGTTACGAAGACGAATATTCTTATGCGTAAGAACTCTTGTAGCTTTATGTTGAAGTTCATCGTTAATGCCGTAACAATGTTCCAAAAGTAAACGCCAGATTTGCTATATTTTTTATCCACCAAGACCTTTTCAACGTTATAAAGTAAAAAGGATATTGATTTTAACGTTATTTCCGATGTTACCACGTCATTTACATGAGAATTAGTGTCCGATCCCTAAAGTGCTGCCAAAATGAACCACTTGCCATGATAGAGTAGATAAGTAATTAGAAAGTACTTCCACCGAACGGTGCAGAGAATTTTACCATGAGCAAAATTTACATGTGACAAAATATTATTAAGTGAATTGTCGTCGGATAGACATTGCAAGAAGATGTTAGAATATTCAATTTGTGAGCAGTTTCTTAACAAATTAATTTCTGGGGTAAGTCGACAAGTCGATTCGACCTAATGAAATCGACTTATGAAATATATTTCTTTGACGCACATCGATTGAGTCACTGATATGTATTCTCTATCATGAGAATGGATGGCTATAAATCAATCATTTTGGCGATTTTTTATCAACCTAAAATTCAAGGTTTACATCCCTTTCATCCTCCGAGACCAAACAATTGAAAAGCAAAAACGGATAAGACACTGCGCGCTGTGATATTCATTTATGTACCTACAATTCAGAAAGGGCGAGGGAACCATATCAATTAAACAATTATAACGTCCTTTTTCAATATAGCCCATTTGGATGGCCTAACCTGGGAACAAGGACACTAGAAATTCTAAAAGTTGTATACGGCGCTCACTTTAGTGCCAAAAATTTTCGCCGCATCACTTAAGTGCCAACGGTGAGAAATTCAGGTCAAAATTAATATGTGGCATTTATAATTTAAAAAAAGGTGACATGGCATATATTTTAAAACGCAGTCCACGTGGACGTGAAAAACGACGTCATTTTTTCGTCCGACGTGGACTGTGTTTTAACGAAACGACGTCATATATAGCCTATGGCCAAAACGATGTCGTAGAAGGTGCATGACTTAGATTGTTCACTCATTCAGCCGAGGTCGCAGAAGGTGGGTGTTTTCTGTTATTGCATATGAATAAAGCTTGGTCGCTCAGCCGATGTCACTTGCTCGCTATTGCAGTCTCACCATCTTGCCGTCAATCATTTAAGTTTGTCATCTTCTCTCTTTTGAGGCTCTGACAGCAAAATTAGGGCAACGAAGGCAAAATTAGGGCTCTGCTCAGAGGGAAAAGAGGGTAAGTACAGCGCAAGTGCCATAACTTTTGTACGGAGGACACTTAAGTGCCATAACTTTTTTTTGGCTCACTTGAGTGCCATAACTTTAAAAAAAATGATCACTTAAGTGCCACTTACGAGCTGGTAGTGAGGGCGAAACTGCGGCTTTTTCGGCCGAACAATGACCTTCCCGGTGAGGCGAGCACCACCAGCTTGAAGAGGGGGTGTCGATGAATCATTCCATCGCCTCCGTTCGTCTCGAAATTTCCGCTTTAGCCTCCGTTGACGAAGGTAAAAATGCTTCGTAGTCACACAATTTATCGAACCGATTTGTGTGACTACGAAGCATTTGTACCTTCGTCAACGGAGGCTAAAACGGAAATTTCGAGACAAACGGAGGCCATGTAATGATTCACCGACACCCACTCTTCAAGCTGGTGGTGCTCGCCTCGCCGGAAAGGTCACCGTTTGACCGGAAAAGTCGCGGTTTCGGGCCCTCACGACCAGCTTGTCAGAGGGGTTGGTCGTGAGGGCCTAAAATCGCGGCTTTTTCGGTCGAACGGTGACCTTCCCGGCGAGGCGAGCACTACCAGCTTGAAGAGGGGGTGTCGCTGAATCATTATATGGCCTCCGTTCGTCTCGAAATTTCCGTTTTAGCCTCCGTTGACGAAGGTAGAAATGCTTCGTAGTCACACAAATCGGTTCGATAAATTGTGT